AATAATTATGTTCACAGTAAATGCATTTGATGAGATAAACACCGAGCAATCCAGCTTGTCAATCTTCTCGTGTTTCGTCGGCAGACTGATGAAGAATGTAGTCTTTGAGTTTATCACCTTAAAATATTATCTTCTTACTAATGATCGTAATTTTTGGCTCAGTACCCTGGAGGTCAGGAATATTAAGTTTTGTTCGTCATCTCGATACCTGATATTATTTTCATAAGATCTGAGTTAAAATCTGCACTTTATGACATTTACATTTCTTATTATTAAATCTCTGGAGTGCTCGTTATTAAGGCCTATCCGAATCAGTCAGTGCAACTTAGTCCCAGAGGATGAGCAAACTTCTTATTATTCCGATTTTCAGTGTCTAGTTGTGATGAAACAAAAAATTGAGGATTATTCTCGAATATTAATTCCTTCTTAATATTCTCCGACTGAGTGTCGCCTTGAAGAGCATGACCTCAACATTAAGAAATATTGTTGTTTACATAAATAATTTCAAGAATTTCGGCACATCTAGAGACCAAACATAGGTGAGGATTGACACCGAAGTATATGCTAAAGGAAATGCCTAATTATGGAGAAATCGACTAACTCTTTAATGTAAAATGACGCAAGAGCACCGGAAACCTAAGGACTACGGATGATGCACAAGGTAGTAAAACTTATAAGATTAATAGTCACCAATAAGCATGGAGCAATACAGAAGCTAGCGAAATTCGGTTGCTTAAAGCTCAAGAATGTAAAGAAATAAAAGAAAGCACCACAGCACTCAAGAGTGCTTATGAGATACATGAATGACTATTTTTCAATTTGGTCGAGTTGAATTAAAAATTGAATTAATTCCTCAACTTTACCAGCCAAAATGATGAAGGAATTTTATTCATACTTGAGGTCAAGGAAGAAGATCGGATATCCTTCTTAGATGTTGAGGTCATGCGCTAAACGGAACACTCAAGAGGAGACTATTCAGAAAAAATCTATATTTCGGAATAATGCTCAATTTTCAGTTGCCTTACAACTATAAACTGAGGATCTTAATACCGAGGAGACTTATCTTCCTCTGGGAGGAGAATTTTTACTTAATGACTCGGATTTGCTTCAATAGTGGGTACCCCAGAGAGTTTGTAATGAGAAATGTAAGCGTCATAAAAAACAGATATAAGGAAATTTAAATCAGGTATCGGGAAGACGACCTTCAGTGAACTGAGCCAAATTTTCTACTGTTACTATTACTAAGGAATATAAAGATGATAATAAAGGAGAAGACAACACTCTTCACCAGTCTGCCGATGAAAGACGAAAAGATTGACAAGCTGGATTGCTCGGGAGTTTATCTCATAAAAATGACGCAAATGTAAACTGAAGTATGTTGGTGAAGCAGAAAGAGAAATTAGCATACACACCAAGGAACACCATAAATTCTATAAAAACATCGATACAGAACGACCTAAAATAGCGGAGCATATTGCACAGACGGGACGCGAATCGTCCTGAAATCGACAGAAAGTCAGTCTGCATATTGCGAAAATACCAGAAAATGCAAATACAAGAGGCCATCGTTATCTTGACGGCAGGAAATTTGATGAACAAAAAACGTGAAGAATTTAGGATCAGTGAACAATTTGTATGTTGCTTAAGCAAACTCGAAGAAGATCAGGCAACATTATAATTTCCCGGTTCACTTTTCTAACTATGATACGGTAATCTTTACCCCAAATTGTTCCCCCATCCGGTTTTGGATGGATGTCATCTCAGTTGTGCGGGAGTGTATGTGCCATTAATGTCTTAAGGCAGATTTCATTTTATTCACCATCAAATCATTAGCTCTGCTTCCTATTGAAACAAAATTTTTCTATAAGTATTGTGTACATTTGATACTGTTTATGGTTACCGAGGACTGGCAATTGAATATTCCCACAATTATATGAGTAGGTCTCACTTTTCCATTGAATTTCACATAACCTTACCTGCAAAAGGTGTTTTGCTTCCATGCAGGACTGAACTGTAGTTTCGACCTCGCCTAGGTTTCATTAGTCTCCTCAAAGGGACTCAAATCTGTATACTGCCGCGTATTGTCTCGACACGGTAACCACTATGCCACATTGCCAAGAGCATCACAGGGCAAATCCTAACTTCAAGGAATGCCCATATTATTCACTTCGTTGGAATTGTCGATGAAGCAAAGTTATATTTGCTATGACAATTAACTAGAAATCCTAATTATACTCAATAATACCGATTTTATTTAGGGTCTACTATTTATCCCAAAATCCCACTTAAAAATTTAGATTAACTTTTATAACTAGTCGCACAGTACAGAAATTTTAGCTAGAATTTTTAATTCCCTTATATTCTCTCTCTCAATGCAGCCTGGATATTAACACAATTTTTGATCTTTTTTATTCTACTTACCTCTTCAATAGACTTCCTCAAGATATAAGGCACCGTATTCCCTTCGCGCTGCAGCACTATCGATAGCGGAACGCCAAAAAGTGCCCCTGGCTGACCCAAAACTGGTCGCCTAGCATAGGCAATTGGCATGGGTAAATGAGCTAGTTCCAAATAAAGCACACCTGTCGGTTCTAGTTGAAGAGCGATTCGGTCCATTAAGGCTTCTTGTCTCGGTTCATGTGTCTCGTTGTCAGAATATGCTGATTTTTCAGAACTTTTTGGTTCGTTCAGAGACCGTTCAACGCCTGCTAGAAGTGTACGAGATTTTCCGAATGTTTCAGTTAATCGGAGGTTACCATAAAAGCAGAGGCGATGCCGGCTACGTCTATTCCATTGATAAAGCAGACAAGCTAGCTCACTGACACCAGCCACTTCGAGGTCAAACTCATCATCCCAATTGAAGCATTCAGTGTTTG